TAATTCATAAAACATTCCCATAATTCTTGTATTGTAAAATAACCTCACTCGTTTTTTCTTCTTCTTTTCTTCATCCCCTCCACATATGTGTATCTATATGGTATCTTTGGGTGTATATATGGTCATCAATACACGTTTACTTTATGAAAGCTTTGGTGAAGGAAAAGGTATGTTTCCTGCAGCTGCTTGTGCTAAAGAGGTAACGCTAATGGATTCACATCCAAATGCAATGTAAAGCCTCTTTCTCCAAAAACCCCAGTCCAGCTCACCAGTGTCTCTCACTGCTGCAAGAGCTTCCTCACTGGCATTCCTCCTTTCATTCTAGCCCCATTCTCCATCTGTTGCTTTTAAAAATATGTGTCAGATCATATCACTGCCCTACACTGAAGCACTCCAGTACCTTCCCGTTACACTTAGACAAAAACCCAAAGTTCTTGCTTTGACCTGGAGGTCACATCTGCTCTGACTCCTGCCTCCCTCTCTGAGCTCATCTCCCTTCTCCTCTGCTGACACACGCTGTTCTTGATGATCCTTGGGTACAGAGCTCATTCCCATCACGTGGTCTTGGCGCTGATCCCATCCCCAGGTCTTCACCTGGCCAGGTCCTTTTTGTCTCTTAGGTCTCAAGTGTCAGTCCCACAGAGGCACTTCCCTGACCCGCATCTGAACTGCTTCCCACTCCCATTAGCCAGTTTTATTTTCTTCTTAACACAGATCACTCTCTGATACTTATTTACATATATCGCCTGTCTCTCTCCTTTAGAATGTAAGTTCCACGAGGGCTGGACATTTTCTGTCTTATTCTACTTTATATCCCCAATGTCTAGTGGGCATTCAATAAATATTTGTTGAATGAAGGAAGGTATGGGCACTAAAAAGGATAGTTGCAAGTTATAGAAATCATATTTATAAAGTAGCTGCCAAACTCAACAGTCAATGGTTGCCAGCTCCTTGAGGGCTACAAATTCTGCTTTATTCCCTGTTTGAGAGAAATATTACTTATTGAGGAAGGATTGCCTAAAGAATGTGCAGTCCATCCATTCCTCCAGATACATTCATTTAGTCATTCAACCAGTATTTATCATTAAGAACCTGCTGAATGTTCTAGACAGTAGGGACGAAATAAGAGACCCTAGAAAAGTCCTGGAGTTTGCCTTCTAATACAGTGAGGCACACACTAACCTCAATAAGCAAGTGACATAGTATGGCAAGTGCTCAATGGAGAAAAAGAAAAAGGAAGGAAAAGAGGGAGGGGCAGGAGGGGTGGCTGTAATTTTAAATAAGATGATGAAGAACAGCCTCACTGAGCAAAACCTTGAAGGCGGTGAAGGAACCACGTGGGTATCTTGGTTGGAAAAGATTGTAGGGAGATGGGAGGAAATGAGGTGAGCACTTACCAGGCACATTGGAGTAACTGCAGGAGGTCAGAGTGCCTGGAGTGCAGTAAGTGAAGGGTGGGAGGGGAGTAGGAGATGAGGGGACAGATCATGGGGGCCACAGAAACCACTGTGAGAACTTTGGTTTTTATTCTGAGTGAGCTGGAAAACCACTGGAGGCTTTGAGCAGAGCAGCGACATGATATGATTTATATCCTGCCTGCTGTGGGGACTGTACTTGTGTACTTGGAGGGCAGGGGGACAATGCTAGAAGCTGGGAGAACATCACAGAGGCTATTGAATAATGCAGACAAGACACAGAAGTTGCTTGGACAAGGGTGGTAACACTGAAGATGGCAAAAGGAAATAAGATTCAGGACATGTTTCAAGGTACAATCAATAGAATTTACTGACAGATGGTAACAAGGGTGGGAGGGGAAAGCAAAGAGACAGGGAGAATAGGAAATCAAGCCTACTAAAGGAACATAATAGGATTGCTCAGCAGTATGGAAGGCCATTCTGATCTATGAAATCCTGAATTTAAAATGAAACCAGTGGAGGGTATAGCTCAGTGGTAGAGTGCATGCTTAGTATGCATAAGGTCCTGGGTTCAATCCTCAGTACTTCCACTAAAATAAATGAGTAAGTAAATAAACAAACCTAATTATCTCCTCCCTCCAAAAAATTAAAAAGAATTCATCTAATCTGATTTTAGAAATAAATAAAATAAAATGAAATGAAACCAGTCAGCCTTGTTAAGTAGTTTTTTCAACAACATCTAGCTGCTCCAGTGCAGGCAAAGAGTGAATAGATAGTATATTTATACAGAATTGGAGTTTTTCAAGGCAAATTTGTGTAAGAGAGATCAAAGGAGTGAAATTCTATTGATGGATCATGGGGTGCAGTCCAGTCAACTTGGGAAGTGATGCTCAGAGAGGGCTATAAACAGTTAAACATTGGCAATGAAAGTACTGTAGCAAATAAGCTGAGATTTCAAATGTACAATTTTTGGTAACGACAGGGTGATGAGGTAGAGGGAGATAAGGTCTTTGGAGATGAGTGGATCAAAGAAATTGAGAGGCCAGTGTGTTGAAATCATCCAGAAAGAAGACAGAGATCGGAAGGAGGCATTGAACACGTCGAGATGTGGGGAGAGTGGCGCTTCCTTCCTGCCCTTTCCCACATACCCTGCCCTGTGCATTTCTTCCCTCTGACTGTTCCTGAGTTACATCCTTTTATAATAAGCTGACAATCCAGTAAGTAGAATGTTTCTCTGCGTTCTGTGAGCTGCTCTGGCAAACTAATTGAAACCAAGAAGGAGGTCATTGGAATCTCCCATCTGTAATGGTCAGGCAGATGCACAGATGCTAACCTGGACTTGTGACTGGCGTCTGAAGTGGTACAGGGCAGTCTTGTAAGACTGAAACCTTAATCTGTGTGATCTGATGCAACCTCTGAGTAGACAGTGTCAGAATTGAGTTGAGTTATAGGACACCCAGCTGGTGTTGGACCACTGTTGGTTGGCAGGGGAATCCCTGGTCCTAATTTAGGAATTGGGTGCTCCAGCCTTTTAGCGGGTTTCCTCCAAACTTTATGTCCCTGACTCCCTAAGGACCAGGAGTCTGGTCTCACCCTGATGCTTTGTTTCCACAGAGCCTTATTAGTAGGGTGAGTGAGTTCGACCCAGTTTTCTTGGTTCCTTAAAAGCATACCTTTCACTGAGCACAATAAGGGTGAGGTTGTAGCACTGGGAACAAAATTCATCCTCCACTCCCCAAAGTTACTGTAAATTGATGGAAGGAGTCAGGACTGGTTAGCAGGCTATAATACAGTTATGGGGTTTTTTGTTGTTATTGTTTGCTTGTTTGTTTTTAGTTTCGACATTTTATTTAACCCAATGTGTCCAAGATATTTAAGCCTGTGTGCCCAAATTATATTTTTAAAATTATTTATTTTACAATCCTTTTTTTTCCCAGCTTCATTGAGATATAGTCGACATATAACATTGTGTAAGTTTAAGCTGTACAACATGATCATTTGATATATGTATATATTATGAAATGATTACCACAATAAGGCTAATTAACATATTACAATAGTGTTTTAAATATGTGTATATTGCAAGGGAAAGACTAACCCAAGGCTAGTCAGAAGTTTTGTATGATTGAAAGATGATTCAGTAAGCTATCTGTTTAGGAAAAGAACCGAGTCCAAGATTTTGGGAACTTTCTGTGATCCAGTGGGTCAAGGACGTGTTCAAAGAAGAGAGTGACTCAGGAATGAGAAAGTCAAGGTGGAAGGGTATATCTAAATAAAAGCATTGTGGTCAAAATAAAGACAAGCTTTACTATTCTGAGGATGAGAATCTCCCACAAGCAGTTGTAGATACAGATAATCCTAAGGGCAAGCAGAATCATCCCCTACTGATGTAGGTGGGATGTCCTGAGGAAGAGACAGAGGAGGGGTTGGGAGGCGGGAAGCACCACAAATCCAAGACAAAAATGGCTTGTGGTGATGGTTAGGGATGGTGAGAAGTGGGAAGCAGGTAACAGACTGACAGCTACTCACTAGTGATAGCATCAAAGATATGTGCACATGGACCCCCAGATGGAATTTCTCCTGCTTAAGAACCACTCCAAGAATGCAGAGAACACTGTCTCCCTGGGAGTGGACTTGAGATAGAGTATCCAGATCTAAATCCCTCTTCTTGAACAAACAGACTCACTTATCTTCTATTTCCTACCACAAAGGGCAGTCTGGGTCAGAAGTACGAGATGGTCCCCCAAGGCCAGCCAGGCTGATCTCCTTCTCTAAAGGGACTCAAATCGGCGCTGTCAGTCTCCTTGTGGAAAAGTACAAGTTTTCCGGCAGATCATGAAACAAATAACTAAATTGATCTCTAGGGAACTTCCTTTCTCCCAGTAACTTCAAGCGTAATTGCAAGATCTTCATAGATTTATGGGGTCATCCTTAGATTCTAAAAATAAATTAAATTGGTTTCTTAATAATATATGCAAGGCAGCAATTTTATGAGTTTTGAGAAATCAAATCAGACAACAGCCAATCTCTATTATAAGAAGCCAGACAAATTTAGTTCAGAATAGCATGGAGTCTTCCCATTTTTAACACCCAGACGTGCCAGCAACAACTAAATTCCTCAAAGCCCTTTGCCTCTACTGCCCTATCTGAATTCACATAGCTCCCGCTTCAAGGAATACGTGTGACACAGCACGTGCTGAGACTGGACAGGTTCCCTTGTGCTGGAAGATAACAGCCATCTGGGGCCCTTGTCCTAAAGAGCAACCTTATCTCTCCCAGCCACCTTAGGGCAGTGCAGAAGTGAGACAGCTAGGGGCTCCAGACGAAGTCAGGCTAAGCCTCACCCACACAGCTTAGTAAATATTTATTAACGTGGCACACAGGATGGTTTTCCATGTATTCACAGGTACCATTCTAATAGCATCATTTAAACTTAATGACTCTTCAGGTATTTTAATGCTATCCTCTTCTGCAGAAAGGATGGCAAGGAAATCTTTCTGGAGGGCAACTGGGCACAATCTGCATCGGGAACTTAAAACAGTCGTCCTACTTCCAGTAGTTTACTCCAAGAAAATAAACAAAAATACCATGATACAATACCATTTATTGTAATATGTATAATGGTGAGAAAAAGGGCATACAAAATGCTGACTAAAATGAAAATCATCTAATTAAGGTATACCCATCTGATAGCGAATTATACAACGATTAAAAATGACATTTTGAATATTTAATGACATGAGAAAATGCTTAAGATATTAAGAAAGTAAAATGCAGGATATAAAACTACATACAGTAACCCCAATTTGGAAAAAAATTTATATATTTAGTGTATTTACATCCACAGAAAAAGACTAGAAGAAAACTATGGACTGACATAGAGGAATTATAACTGATATTTTTCTTCTTTACATTTTATGTATTTTCCAGTTTCTCATTTTATATAGAGAATAATTTCTTTTTAAAGAACCAGAGGCTAGGAGAACCAATACTCAAAATGCCCACCATGTAGTAGGCACTGAGCTAGGAATTTTACCCATTAACTAACCTCCCTGGCAATCAGGAGAGGTAGGTGTCTCAGTACGGTTCACAGATGAGAAAGCAAGGCTCTGCTCTTGAATCAGGGTATCTCTATTTGCCCAGGGTTCCCTGGGTTCAAGCCCAGGGCAATGCCCATGTTTCCTGCTGCCCCACCTGCCTCACCTGCTCTGGCTCCTAGCGGGCCCACGGCGGGGCTTACAGCGAATGTCACTGACAAAGCAGAGCTGTGTACAGCTTGCCCAAGAGGAAGGCCTTATTTTGCTTTCTAAACTCTTCATATCTTCAGAAGTGGAGGTCGTTTTTTTTTTTTCTTCCTGGACAAGAAACAGAGGCTTCTTCATTGTAAAGGCTTGAGGCTCCCTTCTGAAACAGTTTTTATCCATGTGCCGGGCTCTGCATGCCTGTGCCCTGTCTCTGAGACTGTGGTATCTGCTGTCCTGCTTATTGGTCTGGCATCTTGTCAGGCTGCGAGCAGAAGGACAGGGCAGCACTGCACACCCCCACCCCTTCCACCAGCTGGCTCCTTGGTCTCTGCCCTGGATACTAAAACAAACAGGCTGTGTCCTCTGGCTCCCTACTCAACCCCGAGGTGGAGGGGAGGATACTGGGGCAGGGGGGAGGGCAGCAAATATCTCAGCTATGTGAACAATCAGGACTGTCTGGCAGCACATTTGATCTTTTGTAACCTTACTGCAGCCAAATGGGGCCTTCCGGCGTCTGGGGGGCCCATCGTACCCTAAGCCTAATGTTCGGCTGGGTTCCAGATACTGCCCTGGCCAGGGGGGGGTGCCCAATCCCCCCAGCTGGCTCTGTGCCAGGGAGGTCCCCAGGGACACAAACTGCAAACTGTCATGGAGGCAGAGGTGTTCTCCACTGTTCCAAGGATCATCACTTCCTGTTCCCTCTCAGACGCAGAGAAAGGAAGTGACTTCGATGCTGTCACAGCAAGTCAGTGACCTTCAGGATTGGAATGTGCTGCCTGGGTCATCATTTTATCCTCCAGCCCCACAGCTCCTAAACTGAAAAACAGAACTATCTAGGGACTTTTATCTAGAAAGAGATAGAAGGGGCCATTGGGAATGGCTCACAACACACAAAACAGCAAAGGGAATAACCTGGTCCTTTTTGATCAGACTTTTTCTCTTTCTGCAGTCACAGAAGACTACACGTCCAAAAAGTGTGGAGAAATTCTGGAGTAAACAAAGTTAAACAGATTAAGTTACTGCACGACTTCTCAGAAACTTTAAAAGTACCTCTTTCTTTTGTTCTTCAAGTAACACAAACCATTTCAAAATAGAAGAATACAATACACGAGGCAGGCCTCTCAAGTTATATGCTTTTAGAGAAAGGTCATATTCTTGAAGCAGCTTTGCAATGCACAGAGCAATATGCTCAGATATCCTATAAATAGGTTATAATGAAAAGTGGAAAAAAAGTGCTTCTTAAATATAGTCAATTATGAAACTATAATTTTATAAAATTATAAGGATTCCATAGGTATTAAGAGGCCAATGAACACATTTTGAGAACTCTTTGTTACAGGATGAGCCCATAAGAATCCTGCCAACACAAAAAAGTAAGTCTCCAAATAAGCCATCAGCCACTATCTTCAAAACTGGTGTTGGATCAAACAAGGTGTCATTGCATACTCTCCTGTCGGTACTCAGGCAAGAGTTTATGGTATTTTTCTGCTTGCTGGTCAAAGCCCCTGGAAGAGAACCCTGCCTGGAGAAATTTCACTGGAGTCAGAAGGTATTTTAGTGCCAGGCCCCTGACCTCGGGAGCCAGAAGAGAGGCAGCCTTGCTGCTCTGAGACAGGGAAGAATCCTGGTCCATCCAGGCTCTCTGGTTCCCTGTGGCTGTTGAGTCCTCATTGTCTTCCTTGCCTATCAAGTAGGGCCCTCCACCGATTTCCTCTCCAGTTTCCAGGGAGAGAAATTCCTCATCTTTAGACCTTAAGTGCACTGAAAACCCCGAAGGGGCAGTCAATACAGTCCCCGTCTTCTGGGACTCAGTGGAGGGGACTGCCCCCTCCCATTCTTTGCTGCAGACGTCTGGGAACCACTGTTTCTTGATCTGCAAAGGATGGTGGGAGCGCTGCTTTGCAAGGTCCCCAGAAAGGTTCTCATTCTTGGTCTTTTTTGAGTCCGGGTCAGTTTGAGAGTGGTCTGCATTTTCCTCAAGTGATTCAAACATGACACCCTGGGTTCTCAGTTTCCTTAGCTTCCTTTCTAACAACAACCAGAGACAACTTGGTTTTCTAGAGGAGGAACTCATGTACTGCTGCACAGAGTCTGGAATTAGGGGCACAGAGAGCCTGGGGCTCAGGCTGTCCTGAAAGTAGTCCCTACAGGGTTGTCGACTGACAATGGGCACCACCTGGCAAGGCTTCAGTGCCGTGACAAAGGCACGCAGCTCAGAGTAGGAGGAATGGTCAGAGTAAGGGATGATGTGGATATTGGGGTGGGAGCGGTAGATTTTCCGACTGGTGGGGAGGATAGCAATGGTGGGGTGGGTCTGGTTCCAGCGCAGCATGGCAGAATAGCAGATTTCCATATGGTCCACGGCATGGATGCGGCCAGCCTTCTCCTCCACCGTGAACACATCTGCCAGGCCCAGCAGCTGCACCAACTCCAGGCGCCGGGGACTCAAAACCACCCAAGTCCGAAACTCCAGGGCCAGCTGCTCCAGCAGTGACTCTTTCCCCAGGCTATAGAGTCCTGAATAATGTTAAGGGGTTGAAGGAAAGGAAGAGAAGGAAGAGAATGAAGCTATCGGGGAAACCAAATAAATCAACCAAAATTTAACAAAAACACACAAAATTAATGGTTGTTATGGCCTCCCTGATTGTATAGCAGTAAGGAGGTGGCATTTGAGCTGAGCTATACAGAGGATGGGGTAGAAGGGAGTTTAACATAGAAGATACTCATTCATTCAGCTCAACAAAGAAAAGCATCTATCAAGTGTTAGGCACTGTGAAAACCAACAAAAAGCCTCAGTCCTCAAGGAGTGTCATCTACAGGGGGACCCAGAAACAATGCATGTTCGAGACATGCACACGGTATTAGGAAGGCACAGAAAAGTAAACACCAGTTGATGGAGTTACGGAAAGTTTCCTGAAAATGACAACCTAGCCAAGTCCTAAACGATGGGTCCCAGTTAACCTGGCAAAGGAAGGGGATGGTAGAGAACATTTTAAGAGGGGTCATTTCCGTATTACTAAGGTACAAAGAAACTGGTAAGGCACTAGAGAGGTGAGCTAGGGCCATATACTAGGGGGCCTTGTATGTACTGCTGGGGAGCTTGGATTTAATTCTGGAAGTGAAAGCGAGCCATTGAAGAGTCTGAAGCAGGAAAATGGCTAGTTCTAATCATAGGATTCAGGTGATCAGAGCAGGGCTTCAGGACAAAAATGTGGCAGCAGTGTTATTCCACGGCCTGGATGAGAAGATGCTGAGAGCAGAAGTGCCAATTAGAAAACCCAAACAGTACTTACCCAGAAAGAAATGGAGAACTGAGTTTGGGTAATGGTTGTGGTGACAGATATAGGAGGAACTATTTAATAGTTGTTCTCAGAACTTTTCTGAAGGTGTATTTCACCAGACTGTGAACTCCTTCAAAGAACCTTTATTTCTTTTATATCCACCTTATTCCCCATCATGGTTCAAAACCTCACTCTTTGGGCACAAACGTAGGTCTTTTACGATGAGTGTGTATGAGAGTGTAAACCCTCATATTTTGTTCATCTTTCTATTCCAACTGCCTGTCAGAATATTAAGCACATAGTAAGGGCTTACTGTATATTTGCAAATTAACCAAGCCCTACTATAGTACCCTCCTACCCAGCTGTGCTTCTCTGGGAAAACGCTGCATTGAAAACTCCAAGAAGAGTGAGGACCGATAATTCTTCATGAGTAGTCAAGCAATCCTGAGAGGGAATATCTCTCCATCAACTTGGTCGTCACTCTGGAAGGCATAGAGTTTTTTTTCAAAGCCTTTGTTTAAAACTGTTTTGAAACTCATTTCAGAGTTGGGGCATATCCTTTGAAAATATTCAGCATGATGGCAAATCTTTTTCCTTTTGTGGACTTACTACAATTTTGGAAACAATCAAAAAAGTCTTTTGGAATTAAATCTATTATAGTTTTAAAAAGAAAAACTGGTTTTCATAAACTATCACAAAAGACAATTCCAAGAGTCTCAAAATGTTTTAGACTGTTGTGGAGTCACTAGAACAAGGAGACAGCTGGTTTTTCAATGTATCTAATTTCAAGCACTACACTCATTTGAATATCTACATTCTGATAAATTTCATTCACTGATATAATAAATATTTATTGAATGCCTCTCTCAGGCATTAATCGAGGCATTTGGGATAATCCACAAGTGAAACAAAGAGACTGTCTATTACGAAACTTACATTCTAGCAGAGGAAGACAGATAAAAACTAAATACAATAAATATGTAAATTATGGACTATATTGTAAGGTGATAAAAATACAATGGTGTCCCTCTCCTACTTGAAATCCTTCAATATGGTTGCACTTAGGGTCAGTTCAAAATGTCTTACAAGCACTTTGGGCCCTCCTACCTTTCCAGCCGCCTCACCCACTGTGCGCCTCTCACACTGGTTGCTGCTTCTTTGTTCTACAAACACGTAAGACTTCTTCCCACCTCCATCCACGCTCTCAAGGAATTTGTGTGTATGTATGTGTGTGTGTGTGTGCATGCGTGTATGTGTGTGGCAGGGGAAGTGGGACAGACAGTCAACAACAAAGCAACAGCATATTAAAACATAAATGGGGTACATAGGAAGTTGACGAGTGCTATGAGAAAACGAACAAGTTGAACTGACATAGGGGATCAGGAGTTGGGAATGTGGGAGTAGGGATGCGGGCAGATTACAATTTTAAATAAGGTGGTCAGGGTAAGTTTCTTGGAGAAAAGGAGATGTGCACAAAGAAAGATGTGAGAACCTCCCCCCCCCCCCAAGAACCTAGATTCACCAGCTCCAACTGAGTGAGAGAAAAAGGAAAGGAAACCCCTCACCAATTTTTATGTTATGTAGTGGGTACTTTCGAATGAGCTCAATAATCTGGCGGGTAGCTTCTTGTTGGGAAGGAAGAACCAGGGCTGGATTGCAATTGGTATTGTCTAGGTATAAGGTGTGGATCTGTTTCCCCTGCCTCAGAGCTGGCTCCTTTAGCATGGATGGTGTGTACCGAAAATCACCTGGAAGAAGAATATATGGGGGGCAGAGAGTCAGGCAAAAGTATGGAAGATCAGATTCTCCCAACTCCAAGAACAGATGAGCATTTGCTTACTGGCTTGTGGGAAAACTGGAGTCTGGCAATGAACTAGTGTAGTAGAGCTTCTTTGTGGAAATGTCTTTATCACGCTCCTGTTTTTTCGTTACTCTTTATGAGGTTATACCCTTAAAGGGTGGGAAATCAGTTGAGAAAGGGTCACCGTGCTCATATGGCATGAAGATCTTCAGACTTCTATTATGAGCTAACGCTGCTCAAGAAAAGTAGGCTGGAAAATGGGAAGGACCCCTCCAGAAGCCCACCTGTGTAGAGGATGGTTCCAAAGTATCCTTCAAAGAGAAACATAACGGAGCCAGGGCAGTGATTGGCATCAATAAGGGTTACAGTCATGGTCTCACGTCCAATTTCATCTAGAGGCAGGACATGGCTCTCACCAATCTCCAGGGCTCGGATCCACTGCTTAGACACCTAAGGAAACAGTTGGGTATCCCATAGAACACAGGCTCCTCTCCCTGATACCTTCCTGGATCAGAAGCTGTAATGGGGATTCCCAATCCTTCCTTTCTCCTTCCACTCTCTGCCCCACCCTTTGTATAAGTTAAAATTAAGAGTTCAAAAAACAAGTCTACTCAGCAATTCTCAAACTTTCCTGATCGTAATAACCCTTTTGGAGGGGACATTGGTGAAAAATTTTTTTTCCAACCACATTTCCAGGACCTGCACCTGGAATGTCTACTGAATCAGATGGGGGAGCAGGAGGTGCTAGAGAATCTGTGTTTCACTCAGTACATTAGGTGGATTCTTATTATGAGTCAGGTTTGGGAAACACTGGCCCAGCTTATGTGAAAAGGTAGGAACAGTTTCCCTGGCTGAACTGAAAGATCTCCCCAACTTACCGTTGAAACATCCCAAGTCAGCCAGTTGTAAGACACACTCCTATTCTGTGCTAATGATGCATTTCTGGGTTCAAACTCCCGCATTTGTAAAAACCGGTCCTCCTGGCCCCTACTCTATGACTCCAAGGCTGTGACAGATCCGAAGTCCCCACCCAGACGCCGGGACCAACTCTCGACGGCCACTCCAGCCCCTCATACCTGTAGGTGACGATGCAAGAGGTAAGCAGTGATTGGGGAGCAATAGACGGGCCGGGTCCAGGTGCTAGACAGACCCACGGTGTGGTCCGAGTGCATGTGGGACAAGAAGAAAAGCCGGGCGGAGCTAGCCCGGCGCAGGCTCCAAAAGTCCACGGCGATGGGCGTATGAGGGATCAGGACCCCGTTCATGGTGGCAGGGTTGCAGAGTCACCAGTGGGATCTTCATGGGAGAGCCCCTAAGTGAGGCTCCTGCCACAGCGCCCTGGAAAAAGTCATGCTGAGGCAAGAACAGGGCCGGAGACCCTAAGGACAAGCCAGCCCAGCAGAGGAATGAGTGCCTAGACTGGGCAGAAAGAAGGAAGTGGCAGTGGTCGTGGGAGGCGGGAGATTGGATTGCAAATCGCGAAAGGCGCTTGCCCGGGCGCCACTCCCCACAGCGCGCGGGAACCGGGGCCCTAGCCCGGCACTCAAAGCGCGCGCTGCGGGGCGGGGACAGGCCGAAGTAGCCGATCTCCGATTGTCCGTCGCAGCTCCGCCAGAGGGAGCCGCGCGTCTGCGCCGGGAGGTGAGAGGTTGGGGGAAGGGCACTCTAAGGTCGGGTCCAGGCTACGCTCGGCGCTCCCCGGGAGAGGGTGATTGGCAGCTGCTCTGCGTGGTGTCTCTCGAGAAGGCGGGACTTCCGCGGAAAGCTTGATTGGGCCTGTAGGTGACGGCAACCTCGTGGAGGCGCAAGAAAGGCTGGAACAGGAGAGGGAGGGGTCCGCGGACTGTGGGCTGCCGGGCTGGAAATAGGTCGAAGGGCCTAAAGGTTGCGGGAGACATCTGTGGGCGGAGCGAACTGGCCTGCTGGTCCCGGGAAGGAAACGAAGAGCCTAGGGTGGGCCTCGCCCGGGAGCGAGCGGGTTGAAGTGAGGGCGTGCTAGGCCCAGGGGAAGCCAAGGCTGGGGCGAGACCGCGCCTGTAGTGTCTTCGCTGACTGACGCTTCCTTTACCCAGGTCCCCTCTTCGGGGCCAGAGGAGCCCACGAGTTACCTAGGGATCTGTGGGAAGTACCCTGTGCCTGTTCGAGAAGATGCCGTACCTTGGCTCCGAGGACGTGGTGAAGGAGCTGAAGAAGGCTCTGTGTAACCCTCACATTCAGGCTGATAGGCTGCGCTATCGGAATGTCATCCAGCGAGTGATTAGGTATCGCTTAACGCCCTAACTCCCACATTGCCGTCCCCACCAGGGCCCTCTACCCCTGGCCGCTCTGAAAGAGCGAATGAACTTTCATACACGGCAGTTGTCTAATTTGGTTTTTCTGCTCCTTTGGAGTGTCATCTCCCTTGTGGGACATGTTTTACTTATTTGACTCAGATGGGTGGTTTCATCCATATCTCGAACTTGTACTGCTGACTTCCAGATCTCTAATATGTTTAGCACAGACCTCCTTTTTTATCGTGAGACCCACATATCCTACTGCCTCGACATTTCCACCTGCATATTTCTTCAAAGACATGCAAAATAGCACCTGCAGCCTTCCCCCCTCCCCAAACCTGCTCTTCCGCTTGTATTTGCGTTGGTGAATGTCACCACCCAGCTGACCAAGTGTGGGAGTCAGTCCTACTGGCTCCTGATCTCCACTGCTCAGGTCAGATGGTATGGGTTCATAGTTCTAAATATCCATCCTTTTTTGTTTTTTTTTTTTTTAGTTGGCACTGCTGTTCTGGTTTCCTTACTAAAGCAATTGCAATAGCTTAGAAGTAGGTCACCTTGGCTGCTCATTTCAGTCAGAATGATTTCCAACATCTGAATTTGACAATGTAACTCTTGCCTATAGTTGTGAATCACAAACTTTAGTGTGCACCAAAGTCCCTTAGGTTGTTTTTGAAGAAAACGTAAATTTTTCATCCAGTGCAGTAATTCTGATTTCAGTAGGGTGGGATGGAAGCACGGAATCTGCGTTTTAAACAGACATCCCATCTAATTTCTCTAGGAGATCACAGTTTGAGAAACAGTGATTTACAGCATAGTGTCCAAATTTCTTATAGCACCCAAGGAACACCCAGTTAACTACCTGCAAACTCTCAAAAGAATGTACAGTTCCTGCTCATGTCCTTAGGCCTCGTAGCATGTGTTATTACCTCTCTACTATACCTGCCTGAGCTCCTGCACATTCAGCTAAAGTATTACTTCCTCTGTGGAAACAATGTATGACCTTCTGGCAGTATGACCCACTGATCCTCACTGCACCTTATCTGTTACTTCTGTTATAATACTTATCTATCTTTCTGTAATTAGTGGTGTTCTTGTCTCACTCGTTGGTAGACTTTGAGTTCCTAGAGATCTGAGACCTTGCCTTCTTCAAGATTATGACTCCAGGACATACCTGTGGAATGTACAAGCTGAATTTCACTGGAACGTACTAGGAATTCAATAAGTATTTGTTGAATGACTAGAAGAACGTTTATTGCAGGCCCATGGTATGAGGTATTGTGTGGTAGGACAGGCAAGGTAGACTTGGTTGCTTCCCTTCAAGAGATCACAATCTAGTTGGATATCCAGGACACATATAAGTAAAATGCTTTCTGTTGTTGGTTAGGGGTTAAATATTTTACTTTTTCCTGCTATGTGTGTTGGTTTTAGGCACATGACTCAGGGCTTGGACATGTCTGGTGTTTTCATGGAAATGGTGAAGGCCAGTGCCACTGTAGATATTGTTCAGAAGAAGTTGGTTTATCTGTACATGTGTACCTATGCCCCTCTGAAACCAGATCTGGCTCTCCTGGCCATCAACACACTGTGCAAAGACTGTTCGGACCCCAACCCGATGGTGCGAGGGCTGGCACTACGGAGCATGTGTAGCCTCAGGTGAGCACACCTTCCCTGCCAGTATCTCGTGGCTGATGAGTTCATGTGGCCATGGGGCAGGTTTTTAATGATGACAATTTATTTGAGCTTCATAATACTGGGGGAAACACTATTATAACCTGCACTTATGTTTTTGGCCATTGCTTTGGTTTAAAAAACAATATATATGATTTCATTAAGGGATTTTTCTATCCTTACTATAGGTGAAATAATTAAAGATTTCTAAATATGTATGTTATTATTATTATTATAAAGTTTTCTAAATATATATATTATTTCACTTATTTATTTACTGCTGCCTGTGCAGCATTATTCTACATGAAAAGTCCAGTGAGCTCCTTTTTAAAAAAATTATATTTTTTATTGACGTGTAGTTGATTTACAATGTTAGTTTCAGGTGTACAGCAAAACAATCAGTTATACATATACACACATACATAAATTTTTTCAGATTCTTTTCCATTATAAGTTATTACAAGAAGTTGAAAAAATTGAATATAATTCCCTGTGCTATACAGTTGGTTTTTATTGTCTATCTATTTTGTATAAAGTGAGGCTATTTAAGTTTGGCAGCAGCTTTCTCCAGTTTGTTGGAGAAGAATCCGACGGATGCATATTCAAGCATCACTAAACCCCCTGTTAAATGGATCAGGGCTAAATTATGTCAGAACTAGTATTTCAGGATCTGGCTGACTCTAGGATGTCTTGCTTAGGATGCCTGGTGTGCAGGAATATATCCAGCAGCCAATTCTCAACGGTCTACGGGATAAGGCTTCGTATGTCAGGAGGGTAGCAGTCCTTGGTTGTGCCAAGATGCATAATCTTCATGGAGATTCTGAAGTGGGTAAGTTTCGGTGTAATCCATCATGATCAATATTTAATTGTGTTTCCAGTTTTATGTTTGTAAAAGATTATGTAGCTTTGGTAGAAAATAATACCATGCCTCTATTTCTGTATGTCTCTTTTAAGAAGGATGCAGGGCTTGGTATTTTCTGTGATTAGAGAAGTCCTTTCTTTGGGGGCACAGGTGAGAACCTTTGTAATAGTAACTTAGAAAAGTCTGGAAATGGCAACTTTTTTTGCCTTGCACTTTGTTATTGCCATTATTATTTTTGTACCAGAGAAGTTCAGCTTCGTCTACTTAGAGCTGTGACTGGCTCTATCCCTGTGACTGAAGCCTTTCTTTATCTGAGATCTTTGTTCTCTTTTATAGATGGTGCCCTGGTAAATGAATTATATAGTTTGCTACGTGACCAGGATCCAATTGTGGTTGTAAACTGCTTGAGGTCTCTGGAGGAAATTCTGAAACAGGAAGGAGGTGTTGTCATCAATAAGCCCATCGCCCACCATCTCTTAAATCGGTTTGGATGCCTCTGTGCTCTTTGTGTCGTGATCAGATCTGCATCCCAGTGGGATGCTGTTGATGTGTTGAATTAAGGAGAGGTCTTCAACAAGTACTGTAGAGTAGTAAAGAAAGTTAACCATAACTATTAATTTCCTCATATTTCATTGAGAGAATTTTTTGTTTTCATTTCATCTGGTGATACAGAGAGATGGCAGAAACATCCTTTGGGGATAGACTCTGTCCTCTGCAATCATTATGTCCCCCAAACTAAGCCATTCATGCTGCTTTAAAATGTAGAGAATCTGGATCTAGGGTAGAGTGATCATGTCTTTGGCCTTAGACGAGTGTGCATTTGTACTATAAACTCATCCTAGAATTTAAAGCCTTATTATGTGTACACTTTAAGTAGTACATAAAAAGAATAATTTGACTATTGCTCAACCTATTTTGAAGAATTCTTGTTATGAAGAACAGGTGACTGGTGACATGGCGGTTGCATGGAGGTGGTCCTAATTTTGTTGCTAAAACAGCACTTTCGTTTTCTTTCTTGGATAGAATGTCAAAACTGGACCAATGGGGCCAGGCTGAAGTACTGAACTTTCTGCTGCGCTACCAACCCCGCAGTGAGGAGGAGCTGTTTGACATTCTCAATCTGTTGGACAGTTTTCTCAAGAGCAGCAGCCCAGGGGTGGTGATGGGAGCCACCAAACTCTTTCTGATCTTGGCCAAAAAATTCCCGCATGTTCAAACTGATGTGCTCATGCAGGTCAAGGGACCTTTGCTGGCTGCCTGTTCTTCCGAGAGCCGTGAGCTCTGTTTCGCTGCCCTCTGTCATGTACGCCAGATCCTGCATAGTTTGCCGGGTCACTTTAGCAGCCACTACAAAAAGTTTTTTTGCTCCTACTCGGAGCCCCACTACATCAAGCTCCAGAAGGTGGAGGTGCTGTGTGAGCTGGTGAACGATGAGAACGTGCAGCAGGTGCTGGAGGAGCTCCGCGGGTACTGCACCGATGTGTCTGCTGACTTTGCACAGGCCGCCATCTTTGCCATAGGTAGGTGTCTACTGCTCTTCCTGTTGAAGAGCCTAGACCAGCCAGCTAGAAAGCTATGGAACCACAGAGAGCAAAAGGGGATGAATCTTGCCTCAGAGACCAAATTTCTTGCACCAAAGAATTGGGTCAATGACTACAAACAAGCAGGAGGATGAACGTTGTTTTTGGTCAACCCTGGTGTTGCCATATCTTCTAGGATATAGAATACAGGTAACTCAAACGATGACACACACAATTTATATTGCCTTTTGTTGCCTATTATCCAAAATGTCTTCCTGTGTATCATTTTACCAGTCTTGTGAGGCAATCAAGAGAAGCAGGTAAGTGTTATTAACTTCATTTTAAAGATGAAGAAACTTAGGCACAAAAAGTTTATTAAATTGCCCAAAGGTCATACAGTTCTTGACCTGGGCCTGAAGCCGAGCTTTCCTGACTCAAAGTCCTGTGGCAGTTCACCAGCAGTTTATTGAACTTCACTGGACTATGTATTGTGCTGAGTAGGCCACACAGAGTCACACCTAAAGCTTACAGACTTTTTCATACCACTCTGTCTGGATTCAGAAGGCTAGAGTGAGTCACACAGTGAAAGCAGCTGGGGAGCTAAGTCCTGGGGGGCTTCAGGTGGAGGAGGAGAAAGAACCCTCATATGTGGAATAAAGTATGGTTACTTTTAGGGGCAGGGAAGAGGGAACAAAGACGGGAGTAGAAAGCCTGCAGTCAGGAGAGTGTTCCTAGCAGGAATACCCCCGTGTGGGTGTGCTGCAGCACACTGGCTGCCACGTGAATACCTTTGCTGCTGAAAGTTTTCAGCCTTGTTCAGTGGAAATTCCTTTTTACCACAGTTCCCTTTATATGGCAAACTTAGATTCTTATTTCATCCACCATGGGGGGAGTTTTTTAAAGGTATTTCTGGTCCCCTTTGTCTTTGCCTAGTGGAAAATTATCTTAGAATAAGGTACTAAGTGTTTGACTTACAACTTTTTTCTCCTTTCCCTCCTTCTGTAGGTGGCATTGCCAGGACCTACACAGATCAGTGTGTGCAGATTCTAACAGAGCTGCTGGGGCTTCGGCAAGAGCACATCACCACAGGTAACGGCTACCTTCCCAGGATTTTTTTTTTGGTCAATTACCTGACCCATAGTAGTTGCCCCCAATATATCTGTTGTTGAATAATAGGGAGGTTTAAATCTGTTTCCATCAGAGAAGCATAACAGGGTAGAGTCTTCAGGTTGCCATGAGTCAACAAGGCTGTTCTATAGATGGTGAAGAATGCTAGGATGACGTGGCTTGTTATTTTCCCACCTTTACCCCTCTTTTTGCTTTATGGCAGCATACTGTAAGCAGAGGCTTTGGGGGCTGAGACTAGGGTGAGGCAAGCAAGGTGCCTAGGATGCAGGCATTTAAAGAGGCACTCATTCTCAGGTTTGTGCAAGTGCTAGCTCTGTGCGTCTTCTTAAATTTCACACCCTGGCACCTTGCTTGCTTCACTGTAACCCCAGCTCTGGTCACTCCATTGATACTGTCTTCAGAGCATCACTCAGCAACAGCACTCCACCACATTTGAACACAGCTTTCTGTTTTGCCTAGCGCTTTCGCAGACATTAACTCAGTTATCCTCATGGCCATCTGATAAGAGTGACATTCATTGAAGAAATTGTTGCCCGTGTCAGACATTTCTCAGATAATCATTGACCTCCCCCTCCAACACTCATTTTACAGAAATTCACCCAGCAGTCTAGTCTGAATATATAACAAGATTCTAATCCTGTGCTCTTGTATCCTGAGCTGTGTTGCAGTGGTGGTGCAGACTTTCCGAGACCTGGTTTGGCTGTGTCCCCAGTGTACGGAAGCCGTGTGTCAGGCCCTGCCCGGCTGTGAGGAGCACATTCAGGACAGCGAGGTAGACTGTAGCTCGCCTTTCCTTCCAGGCACAGGGGGATGCTCGGGACCCTGCTCTGGGAAATGGAATCTAATCATTCTTTTCTACCCAGTGTCTGAAGTGGAAATTCTCAGAATTGACTGCCACCTCAGATTCTCTTTGGGGTGTAGAAAAGGTATAAATGATAAAAATATTAGGATTTATCTGTGGTTTTATTACACATATTTTGATACCATTGTTCTCATGAACAGTTTTGAGTCAGAGACTCAGACCAGAGAGTTTTCAGCTGGAATGAAAATCAGAATAATTTGTGGAATTTTTGCAAATATTTGGGCTTTACCCCAGGTCTGCTCAAATATTCAGGAGTGGTAGACCTAGACACATAGAATTTTAAGAAGCTTCCCAGGTGACTTTGATGTGCATTCTAGGTTAACCACCACTTTGATGAAGTAACTTCGGGAAATCTTCCAGTAGCTTCCACTGAAGCATTAAACTCCAAATTGGGGCAGAGGTCCCAAAGCTGAGGAAACCTTACTGTTTAAGCAATCTAGGCCATGAGAGTCTTGAGTCTCCTTTTGTGTGCTAGAATTTCATTCCTCTTTCTTACAGAGAGTGTAGTAGTGGGAGATCAATAAATGCAAGTTGAAGTAAATACAGTATTATACCTTTTCTGCTGACAGTAGGGGAAAAGCAAAATCTGCAGTGGTCTACTGTGGCCTGTGTTTTGGACAAATGTTGAGCCCCTGTTCTCACTCCCTTATTCCTCAGGGGAAGCAGGCGCTGATTTGGCTCCTGGGCGTCCATGGGGAACGAATTCCCAATGCTCCTTATGTGTTGGAGGACTTTGTAGAGAATGTGAAGTCAGAGACGTTTCCAGCTGTTAAGATGGAGCTGCTCACGGCACTGCTGCGTCTTTTCCTCTCCCGACCGGCCGAGTGCCAGGACACGCTGGGCCGTTTGCTGCATTACTGCATAGGTAGGCTCCCCGGGAGGCAATGGTACCTGCCGTGACTGGCAGTAAGGTCTCACGGCTCTCATGTCTGGGACCCAAGAAGAAAATGTCACCGTTTTTTAGGGTTTCCTCCCTCCTTCATTTTTCTCTCCTATTTTGGTTGGCATAGGGGTAGAAATAGTGTGTTGGGTTTTGTTTTTAATTAACTCAGTCTGTTGTTTTCCCTCAGAGGAAGAAAAGGATATGGCTGTACGGGACCGAGGTCTCTTCTATTATCGCCTCCTCTTAGCTGGTGTTGATGAAGTGAAGCGGATCCTGTGCAGCCCTAAGTCTGACCCTTCTCTTGGACTTTTGGCGGATCAGGCAGAAAGACCTGTGAACAGCTGGGCCTCCGACTTCAACACACTGGTGCCAGTATATGGCAAAGCCCGCTGGGCAACCATCTCCAAGTGCCGAGGGGTAGAGCGTCATGGCCCAGAGCTTCCTAATGCATCCTGTGCCACATCAGGTAAAAACTGTCTTTTCTTTGGACCTTGTCAGAAAACTCTTTATCTCTTGCAATGACTGGTAGAGAGTAGAGGACACTCTCTAAGTCTCAGCCTGTTGCCTGAATTTGAAATCTTTGTGAATAAGAAAGTAGTTCATCATTGGTTATTTAAGCCATTTATCCACAGATAAGAGTCACATTATGTACGTTTGGACATCTAGATTTGACAATGTAGTTCCTGTCGATTAAGAACATCTCTTACACAAACTTTTCAACTCTTTTAGGACCCCTGGTTCCTGCAGAGAACAAGGAGCGGGTACAAGATCTCCCCGATTCCGGAGCCCTCATGCTAGTCCCCAATCGTCAGCTAACTGCTGAGTGTTTTGAGAAAACTTGGCTTAGCCTCAAAGTTGCTCATCAGCAAGTGTTCCCGTGGCAGGGAGTGGTCCATCCTGACACCCTCCAGATGGCCCTGCAAGTGGTGAACATCCAGACCATCGCCATGAGCAGGGCTGGGGCGCAGCCCTGGAAAGCCTTCCTCAGTGCTCAGGACGATACTGGCTGTCTGTTCCTAACAGAACTGCTGTTGGAGCCCGAGAACTTAGAAATGCAGGTCTCTGTGAAACAAAGCAAGGCGAGGACAGAGACACTGCACAGTTTTATTTCTGTATTAGAAACTGTGATTGGAACAATTGGAGACTTAAAGTCCTAACGACTTCTTGCCTGTCCTGAGTGAGATGAATAGCTGTCAGAGTTCCTTAGTTTTTCTCACTACAGCTGCTTGTAAGTCCAGATAATGTCAAATGCAAAGGAGAAGAGGAATCTAGGGATTAAGATTCTTATGCTTTTGTCCAAAGACCATTGACATATTCCTCTCATACTTATTGCTGAATGACCCCATTTTTCCAGGTGATATTGAAAAGGTTAATGTTGGTAAGCGGGTGGGAATGCGGTGATAGGATTTGGCTTTTTTTCTAATCAGTTTAAGGGGTTATTTTACTACTTAAAGATGCCTGAAGTCTCTGGACTGATGACGTCATCATTTTTGGGAGGCATCTTTTCTCCCCTGGATTACTGCAGTAAATTCCTTACTGTTCTCATGTTTCTAATCATGCTTTTTAGGCCAGAGATCAAAGTCCTCCGTGTGGCATCTAAAGTGCCTCTTCAGTGCTGTGGCTCAGCACTCCCCGAAATTCCCTCTGTTCTGACAAAAGCAAACCACCTGCAGTTCCCTGGATACACTACTAGGTCCTTTCTCCCCCCTGCACTTCGGCCCCTGCTGCTTTCTCTCATGCCTAAACATTTCCTCACCCTCATATCTTTGTTAAGTAACACCTAGTCTATCTCAGTGTTCACCTCAGGCATGAGCTCTTGCAGGGAGTTCGCTGTGACCCTCGCTGCCATTGTTAGGGGTCTCACTCAAGCCGTGAAAGCAGTCGGTGCCTGTGTCTAGCAGGACTATTGTAATTATTTTCTTGTCACTCTTTCTCACTTTTGACTTTATTCATACCATACCACGTTTTACACATTGAGACAACTTATGGCAAAAACAGATGTAATAAAATGATGGCAAAGTATAAAACAACCAGAGAACCCAGCACAGGAAAAATAAAAATACCCATGAAGACCAGCTGGGTTAGGGATGGGAAGGTATGCAAATGTTCAGGCTGAAAGGGCCTATGTAGTTGGCAGAGTTGAGCGTCAGCCTTAGCTCTGGAAGTGATCTGGCAGTCAGAATAAGCAGAAATAGTTATATCTTGTTATCAGAGAGGAAGAAACATTTCAATTCTAATTTCTAAAAGAAACTTCCATGCAGTTTCACACAGGTGGCCCTGAGTGGTATGTGGAAGATGCCTGTGGGAAGTTGGTAAAGTGCTTCACCTGACTTGTGGCGCTCCTCCGTGCAAGCAGAGGGCATCACTCTAACATGGAGCTTAGTGAGTGCATCCCCTCAAGGACGAAAGATAATGTGACCCAAATATCCAGCTTAATTCAAGGACTTCTTCCTGGATACACAGATGGACTGCATATCCTGCAAATAATTCTTCACCCATCATTTCTCTCAACTAGGCTTTTAATAGGAATAGATACAGCTAGTACTGAATTTTCTGGCAAGGGCCTGGGTCTTGTGAGTTGTCTGTCTCCACCGAACAATTTCTAAGGACAGTGATTATCTTTCTTTCCTTCTGTCTCCATTGTGCCTACCACATAGTCGTTACTCAATAAATGGTATTGAAGGAATGACTGGAAGTAACTGGATTCTGATGGTGTATTGGGATTGGTGTTTGAAGTGTGTTTTTTTATATTTATTGACTATACAGAAGATAATAGATGGAATTCTACCTAGACTAGGGTTTCTCAAAAGTGGTACTGTTGACATTTGGAACCAGATAATTCGTTGCTGTGGGGGTGGTTTTCCTGTGAACTGAAGGATAATCATTAGCAGTATCTGGTCTGTATCATTAGATGCCAGTAGAACCCCCAGGTGTGACAACTGAAAATGTCCTTAGTCATTGTCAAAGGCACTGTGGGTGGGGGGCAGAATCACCCCAAATTGAGAAAGACTGACCTAGACCATAGATCCCAGGGACTGGAAGTAGAGGGATCAGATTTGCTTTCCATATTTTGAACTTGTTTGGGTAAACTGAATGTTTAATTAGGTACTAAAAGAAATAAAATTGAAGTGTTAAGTGCTGCCAATTTAAAGTGTTTCAAGGGAACAGGATGTAAGTGGTAGAAATTGAGTACACTGACTGACTTTTTTAAAAATTAGAGACTATAATCGAAGTATTGACCTAATGAAAATTAAGTACGAAAACCCCACAAATACAAAAAAAAAAAAAAAGTACGGCTCAGGGATCAAATGTCACTGAAGTGATCATAACTATTGGAGCTTTTAGTAGATTGAGTCCTACTTGGTTGCTTTTCTATAATGTAAAGGGCATAGAAGAATATGAAACTGTTCCTTTTGAGAAGTGTAATTTTAAAACGATTTCACAAAAGTGATGATTTCTCTTACCTGTAGCCTTGTTTTACTAATTTATAAGCAAATGATTAAAGCTTATGTATAACAGGAATTTTTTAATATTCCTTCTCCCTGGGAGCTCTCTCTCTAGCCTCTGTAGACACATGGTTTGATGATATAAGTAGATGCTTATCGATAAAATCCATGAAGGTAGTCAATACTGTGCTGTTAGAAAAACGGCCTTCTAATGGTCTTAGTTGGTAAATGGTATGTAACACATGTAGTGAGTGTCCACCAATGACAGTGGTGCTTTGGAACATCATAGAGGCAATCATTTGCATAGTCCCTGACCATAATTTCACTGTCATGGACCAGCAACTGATAAATGCCTCCATTCCCTCCTCCTTTTTGAATAGGAGCTCTGTTACAATTATTCTTACATTTAATGATAATTATTACAGTAATTCTGTCCCTTTCTCATATATTGGGTGTTTCAGGGAGGGATGACAAAGAACTTATTTTCTTAGTTCTAGGTCTTCACACTGAGAGGAGCTGTACCCAAGGATCCTCATTGACATGCAGACCAGGTGCAGATGACAAGATCCTGGATTTGGAGTTGAGGCTTTGGGAATGGGATATAGATTGTTATGGCCAGAGCAGCAAGAGAAGCAAGTGATAGTGAAAAAATTCTGGCCTCATTTTTCAGTAATAATTAGGAGTACGGTATTTGCTTTTTTTTTCTTTCTTTCTTCCTTTTTTTTAAAGTAAGGTGTTTTTGGGGGGAGGGGAGAAGAATTAGGTTTATTCATTTACTTATATATTTTTAGAGGAGGTACTGGTAGTTGAACCCAGGACCTCATGAATGCTAAGCCTGCACTCTACCACTTGAGCTGTACCCTTTCCGCAAGAATATGATATTTGAACTTCAAGACTAAAAGGTATGTGGGCTGAAGGGAAGGGAAAGGTGTGGTTGGGAGGGTGATACATTGGAGGCCCAGAGAGAAATAAGCAAAGGAGGAAATTTTACCCCACAGTGCTTATGAAAGGTATGTTCTGTTTCTATAAACTTACAACATTGATTATACAAGATAATGCAAAGGATAGATAAGATAATGCAAAGATTAGATCCCTGCAATGGCAATTGTCCTTAAGCACATCAGTACTGAAATGAGGGAGGTAGTTTATTATTGTGAGAAAAGGTTTATTCTTTGTGGTAAGACAGACTAGGTTTTAAATTTTTATTGTGCCACTTACTGATGCCACTTACCTTGGGCAAGCTATTTAACACCAGTTGGATGGCATCTTATAAACTTATTTGTTTTGGTATATTATTCTGAAAGTATGTCATAAATGTATTTGTTGGAGTCCTTAAATTGTCAGTGGCTAGCTCTGCTGTGAAAGGAGGTTGGCCTAGAATTATCTCTGAGAGACCTGACTTTAGAGGTCTGAAGGCTACTTGATAGAAACTGAAATTTCAGCCCTAGTGATAGACAATGGCAAATAAAAATGGCCCTTTAGCTACATAATTCCTGTTCCTAGTCCAAAAGGGATTTATGATCATTTGTTTTTTTAGAATGGAATCGAAAATAGAAGATTGGCTCTGATTATTTTGCAAGATAGAAATTCCACTTTAAACAACTTACTGTTTATGCTTGACTTTTTTACTAGTTCACCAGGTCAGAATATCCTGAAAGGGCTGATAGGTGTGAATGCTGCTTCTGAGATACAAATCCAAAGTCTAGGTGTAGCTATTTGAGAAGTTAGCCGCCAAAGGTAAGTGTCCAATTCTGCGAAACTGTAAAACAGTGATGGAGTCCAACCCTGTTAGGAAAATCCTAATTACTTCTATTAGAGAGTAGATCCCAGATCCCTTTCATCTTGGTCATCAGGCTTTGGGCTTAAAAGGAAGACATTCAACACTTACTGCATGTCAGTGACTGCTGGGTCATTCCACATAACATTATCTTATTTAATCCTCATTAATTCCCTGTGAAACACTTTGTGTTATCCCTATTTATAATTCCTCAAATTTTTATTCACCTTCTCAGCTTTTGTGTATCCTATTTCCTCCACCTAGAATGGTCTTATTCCTGCTGTTTGTCTGATGAATCCCTACTTGTCCTTCAGAGCGCATCTCAGATGTTACTACTTCAAGGAAGCCTTCCTAACCCCCTACATTTGTTTCTTTATTGTATATGGTAATAATACACTGTATCCCAATAAGCACTAGAAACTATGTGATTAGGCATCTAATATCCATCGTTCATACTAAACTATGTCTGTGTCATTTTTCTGGGTTATTTACAGTGCCAAGTATGTATAGTTCCTTACAAATGGGTACTCAGTAGATGATCTATGCGTGATTATGACCAATAAATGCATAGTCAGGAGTTGAATGCTTGTGTAATGTAATTTCAAAAATTTCCTTCCTTAGGTTACACCATACACAGAACCCAATGAGAAGTTTCTTGATGAAATTACCCAAGAGGCTGTTCCTTATCTCTATTTCAGTTTTAGATTGGCTATCTAACTATTAAAGTTATTCATTAACCTTAGGGACTGGCTTGGGTATGCTTCTGAGATAAGGAACTGAAAGTCTTCAACGAACCTCTGCAGTTCTGTGTGGGTGAGTTCTTCAGAGATGACCCTTCGGAGCAGCTGTTTTTGAAGACAGGTGGTAGGAGAGGCTCTAGGACCACATGTCCCATTAAACAACTTTACAGGAGGGAGACACATCTGGTTTACCAGTGTTTCTGACTTCCTGCTGAGCTGAAAACAGCTTCTTTTTGTGGAAGAGCCAAACTTGGCCACAAACATCTAAAATGAAGATCCCCCGAACTTTTGAGGAGCAAACAGAATGCATCGTGGACTCTCTGCTCTCAGACTTCTTAGGCACCACTTGGCAGGTTGCCAACCGGAGCCTGTGTGGTGTAGATGAACCAGATTCAGGTAAGGCTTCCGGCCTGAGGTGGTAATTATAGGTCAATAAGAGAATCTGAATATGCTTTCTTATTTCCTCTTAAGTTTCAAAAGGTGAACTCTAAGCTTTCAGCAATATCTGAAGTCTTTATAGAAGGGAAAGAGATTCCCAGGGAAGAGAAATTTTCTGACTATTGGTGTTGACAGAACATTGAAAGTGTTCTTGGGAGAGAGCAATGCCAAAATTCCTCAGAAGTCTGGAGAACTTTCCTCAGTGCCTGGATTCCTGGGACTTGCCATCCTTCCGAGCACTGTGACAAATGTGTTCCCTCTGTTTTAGGAGAGGCTAGCTGTTTTGACGTGGCCGTCATTGCTGGTCGCCTTCGGATGTTGGGTGACAAGTTCAATGGAGAATTGGAAGCTTCTGCCAAAAACGTCATCGCAGAAACCATCCGGGGACAGGTCAAGTTTCTACTACTTCTTTCTATTGTTTGCTGCTTTTTTCTGTTTCAGACACCCTTGTCTTACTGTTCTATACGACTGTGACTGAAATGTGCTGTGAAAGATTTGGGGGCTTAATGCATCCAAAGAGATACAGCAAGAAATTTTCAATTGCCCATTCTTTAGGAGTTAATCTAAGCCTAGGTGATATTGAGGTGGAGAGCTTTTCTGCACAGGTTGATCAGCCTTCAGATTATTTCCATTTGTTTTTTCACCAGAGCTGTGCTTAATATACACACACACACACACACACACACACACACATATATATATATATATCACTCTATTCTTGGTAAAGCATTTTATCCTTTTCTACACCTGTTTTAATACTTATTTTGCTGGTAGTGGGTGTCTTTTTTTCAAGGTCCAGCAATGAAATTACATACAGGAAGGATGGGCAGCTGTCATGTTTGATGCAATGAGGGACAAGTACTTACCACTAGGGCGTATCTGGCTTTCCATACGAGCCCTATACTGGACTCTGTATTGGATATAAATACCATAGACAATGTTCTAGAAGATGTTGCCGATTAATATCAATAATGACAGCTAATATTAACTCATCACTTACTGTGTACCAGCTAGTATTCTAAATGCTTTATACTTCTTATCTCACTTAACCCTTACACCACTCTGCGAGGTATTATAGAAAGTATTATCTGTTGTGCAACCTCTCTCCATCTGTGTATAACACTGTGAGAGCAAACATCTAACCTGTCTTGTTGACTGCTGTAATCACACAACCTAGAACAGAACCACAGGCCCTCAATAAGTATTTTCTGACTTGGTATCCATTTAAGCAGATAAGGAAATTGAGGAATAGGGAAATAAGTAATTAGATTACTTAGTTAGTATTGAAGTTAAGAACCCAGACTGATTCCAGAATCACACTTTTTAAAAAAAAATTGAGGTAACAATGGTTTGTAACATTATCTAAGTTTCATGTGTACAACATTATAATGTCTGCTTCTGTATACACCATAGCATGCTCACCACCAAAAGTCTAGTTTCCATCTGTCACCATGCAATTGACCCCTTTACCCATTTTGCCCTTGCCCCACCTCCCTTCCCCTCCGATAACCACCAGTTTGTTCTCTGTATCTCTGTGCAGAACCACACCCTTAACCATTATGCTGTATCTTCCTATGGAATACAGCTTGAGTGGTATGCCTATTCTGGCAGAAAGGGACTTATCACACCTAATTGCTTGCACTGAAGCTTTCCTAGGTAGCTGATAGCTGAATCTACTGAGTTTAATTTTTTTTTAATTAAAAAAATTTTGGAAACAGCTTCAAACTCATAGAAGAGTTGAATCATTTAAGAGTAAGTAGCCAACGTGATGTTTCATCACCCCCTAATACTTTTATATATGTGTGTAGATGTAACTGCAATCTAACCATCAAAACCAGGAAATTAGCACTGATACATTATCATTCTCATCCTCAGATCCCATTCAGGTTTTCTCAGTTGTCCCAATGATGTCACTTTCACTTACAGTTGACCCTTGAACCACATAGGTTTGAACTGTGAGTGTCCACTTGCTTACAGATTTTTATCAGTAAATAAGTACATATTTTGAAAATACTATTAGTATTTTTCAGTAAATACTACACGATCTGCAGTTGGTCGAATCTGCAGATGTGGAACTACACTCAGATACAGAGGGCTGACTGTAAAGTTATACGTGGGTTTCTACTACACAGGGGGTTGTTGCTCCTAACCTCCGAGTTCTTGATGGGTCAACTGTACAGTGGAAGGAACTAGGCCAGAATCAGACACTGAATTTAGTTGCCATGTTTCTTTAGTCTCCTTCAGTCTGGAAGAGTTCATCAGTCTTTCCTTGATTTTTATGACCTTGACGCTTGAAGATAATGGGCCAATTATTTTGTAGACTGTCCCTTAACTTGGGTTCCTTTGGTGTTTCCTCTTGAGTGGATATAGGATATCTGCCTTTGGAAGGAGTATCACAGAAGTGTTGCTGTGTTTGTCTCACTGCATCCTATCAAGGAGCACAGATTGCAGTTTGTCCCCGTACTGGTGTTAACTTTAACCACGTAAGGTGGTGTCTGCAAGGCTCCTCCATTGTCAAGTTAATCTTTTCCCCTTTAATTAGTAAGTGTTTGGTAGGGTGGTACTTTGAAACCATGTAAATATCCCATAGCTCATCAAAATTTTAATCTATTTATTTATTTATTTTGTATATCAACACAGACTCATGAATTCCTGCTTTATTCAATGGGCTATAATCTTATTATCATTATTTATTTGTATGCTCAAATTGCCCCAGCTTTGGCCAGTAGGAATCCTTTCAATCAGGACTGTGTCTTTGCCATGTGCCTGTCATTCTCTGAGTACTTCCTTAATTTCTGACAGGAGATCTTGTATTCTCAAGGCCTGAGCCTAAAATGAGCTGTTCTCTAGGGAGCTCTGGTTTCTTTGAATGGAGAGCAATACTTGGAAACCAGGATCTAGGTCCCCTCATGTGGCTGCCCGTCTCAGCTTGTTTGGGTTCTGACACCTGGCTCTGACCACACTGGGCTCCCAAAGCTTTACCACAATAGATCTTGCTCGGCCCCACCTAAAGGCTTTTGGACCAAACTTTTGGGGAAGGAAAGAGGAAGAGGAAAAACTGATCTGTTTTTTTTACTTTAGAGTTTCCCAGACTTCAGGCATTTAAGCCACACCTTCACAATTTGACCAGCTACACTATCATGTACTTAATATTTTTCTTTCAAATCATTTTTTTCTTTTAATCATTTTGTTCATCCTAAGCAATAATATCTGAAATAGTGAGTCTGATGGGCTTATTTTTTTCCTAATACCCGTTACAATAAATTTTAAAATATTAAAACATGAAAAGTTTATCCACCTACTCCCTAAGATTACCTCAGATTCAACCAGTGTACACCTGCCACTCTTTGAGAAACACTTGCTTAACTGGATTCCTGTACCTGCAGCCTCCTGTACTTCTTTAGTGATACTCCACTGATAAATCCTGTGTCTTTCCCCAGGCAGGACCTATACTTCAGGACACAGTAAAATCTCTCAGCAAGGCCTGGTGTGCTCAGGATTCCAGCTTGGCTTATGAGAGAGCCTTTCTGGCAGTGTCAGTGAAACTTCTTGAATGTGTAGTCCGCATGGCTCCTGATAAGGCAAGACAGGTGGCTATGCCCATGACAAATATGATCAATGGGAACAGTGCCATCCGAGAGTATATCCAGGGCCAGGGAGGTTGGGTAAGTATTTTGGGGCCCCTGGATTTGCTAGGCATTTGCACTGTTTTTGTATTAATACCTTGAACTCCAGTTCATGATTCTTTCTGTCGGTTAAACCACTTAGGAAAACAGGCTTTCCAACCTCGCTGAAAATGCCAGGCTTTTTTTTTTTTTTTGCCATGGAAAAGGGGAGCAGTCAGAAGTTCCAGCCGGTAGGTCTTGGTCTCCAGAGTCAGGCTGCCTAAAATGTTGACTGCTAACTCTGCAAGCTAATTTCCACTTCCTCCACCTAATCATCTGTGAAGTACATTGATGGTGGAGTTCTAATCTCAGCCTGACTTTGCTCTGTTCCCTGGTAAATTTCTGCATCTTCTTTCCCTAACATCTTTGGGTATGTGTTGAGGAAGTTCAGAATTATCTTTACCTAACAAACAGTTAGCGACATCTGCTCTAGTGATAACAATAGGGGGCATTCTCAGCCCGTGTCTTAGTAATCAGCAGAAGCCTTAGCAAGAGCTGCACTCCCTGAAGGTATCTGCACATCATTCTGGTTTCTTTAGGGAGTTCCTGAAGACCATCCCCTTGACTGCAGAATATTCATTGTCCTTCCTAGGAAAACCTGGAGAGCTGAAGAAGAGGTGGAGCTGTTTTCCAGCCTGAACAGGACGTCTTCTTTGACTGATTGGGTGATTGATTCCTGGCAATTAAAACAGAAGAACAGCCAAATCAAAACACACTTTCTCTTGGACAGAACTGAACTTGACTGAATAATCTATCTTCTGCTGATTGTTAAAGTTAGGAGCGACTCCCAGAGGTCTACAGAGATTTTATACTTTCTGTTCTTATGTGAGTTTTAATGAAGTTTTGTTGAAGCAGAGACCTCCAGATGCAAGGTAATGACTTGTCAGTAGTGGAATTCCAGGCAACAGGAAACCATTCTGCAGATTTTGCCCTGCCCTTTGGTAAGGATTTTATCTACTAATTTTGCAGTCTTAAGGATTTCAGGGAGATCTTTGGTTGGAAAATTTTATTTTAAGTTGAGGATTTTCTTTTTAAGTTTATAACCAAAATTTCATGTTAATTTCACCTGAGCTGAATTATTTTATGTATTTTCAAGGTTAGAAGCAAAAAAGAGCAGTTGTTCATCTGCTCTTCTACTAGAAAGGCCAAAGAGAGAGATAACAGTGACTGCATTTTTATTGCCACAGGATGCAGGAAGTGCTGGCCCACATGTAGGACAGTAGGGCCGTCCCAGATTAGATGAAGCTACATACCACAGTGTTTTTCAAAGTATATTTCACATACCACTTGCGGACCTTATATGTTGCTGATCTCCAGGCCCCATCCCTAGAGATTCTGATCCTATAGGAGTGGGCTGGGGCCTAAGATCCTACCTGTTTAATCAGTTCCACTGGTGATTCTAATGAACATATAAAATTTGGGAACCATCGCTTTAGAGCAGGTGTTGGCAAAGTTCAGCCCATGGGCCAAATCAGCCTGCTTTTTTTTTTTCAGTTAAAGCTTTATTAGAATGCAGCTGCACTCACTTGTTTGCATATTATCTATGGCTGTGTTAGCATTGCAGCAGCAAAGTTGAGTCATTATGGCAGACACCATATGGCCTGTCCTGTAAAGCTTAAAATATTTACTGTCTGGCCTTTAAGTTTGCAGACCCCTGCTCTAAAGCTAAGTGAACACTTCTCCTTGAGTAACTTAAGCTCTGTTGCAGTCCTGACAGTTCCTGCCAAATGGAATTGTGGATAGGATAACCCTTCTTTCAGAATTTAGCCTGAGCATTTGTTGGTTCTTGCATAGTCCACGCTTTCTCTAGGACCTTTGGAAAATCAGAGAGCTCTGGGATTCTGCATATTATAGAGGATATTCATTTCCTTGGCCCTGTCACAAATGATTGGAAGGGACTGAAAGCAAAGCATACGGTTTCCATGGTCTGTGCATCTCATCAACAGTTCTTAATCTTGTAGGTTAGCAGGCAGTCATCAGGTAGAGACTGCTTCATCTCTGAGCCCCCAAACCAGACAGCCTACCTAACATCAAGAAGAAAAGCATTGCTGTATCTGCTTTTTAAGAGAGGGGTTAATGGCTTTGGCTAAAGTTTTACAAAGCTAACCACTTCCCCTCCCCTCAGCCAGCCATCAGGCTACCCTCAATGCACAGAAATAAAATGTAGGGTTGCTGATATATTTTGACTTTTTCAAGTTATACTATTTTCTCTATGCTTAGATAAATCACAATAGGTTAGTAATTCAGAAATGAGATTTCATGTTCTCTTTAATAGAAATTAGGTTGTTTGTTTGTTTTTTTTTTGCTACCAATTTAAGACACTTGATGCATTCCTTTGTCCCTTTCATTACTGTAAACTCAATATGGTGAGTTTTGTGGTTTTTGACCTCTTAGGCAAAATCATTATTTTCGCTTTGACTAATGCTGTTCTGTTCATGAAATGAAATTCTTCTGTCTCTGCATTTGAACTAATTCCCAGCAAGTGCAATCTAAATTGAATGGTACAGAAACAGAGAACAGATTGGTGGTTGCCAGGGGCGTGGGGTTGAGGCGGGGTGGGGAAATAGGTTAAGGTGGTCAAAGGGTACAGACTTCCAGTTATAAGATGCAAAACTTCTGGGGAGTTAATGTACAGCGTGGTGACTATAGTTAACCATACTGTAGTGTGTATTTGAAAGTTGCTAATAGATTTTTAAAGTTCTTACCACACATACACACATTGCAGCTATGTGAGGTGGTATGTTAACTAACTTTATTATGGTAGTCATTTTGCAACATATATGCATATCAAATCATTATGTTATATTCCTTAAACTTACACAATGTTATATGTCAATTATATCTCAACAAAACTGGAAAAAAATAAATTGAGTATAAGTGGTAGAGGCCAGCAGCCTCCTCTTTTTCTTTTCTTTCCCCTCTTAGCCATACCAGCTCCCTTTTTTATGCTGTTTTGCCCACAAAACATCAGAATGTGAGTCTGGCTCCAAGTGTACTATAGTATCTTGAGACAGAGAATATGGTGCCCCTGGGGATTACACAAGGCAATGGGTACGGAAGCTCTGGCCTGGGTGTTGTGTTTGTTGCAGGGCCACCCTATCCTAGGAGAGCTGAAGTGACTGGGCTGCAGGAAGAAGACACTGTAGCCCAGAGATCAAGAATGCATTCAGATTGTCTGATGTTAACAACTTAGTTTCACATAGCCTAATCATGTGACATCAGATAAATAATCCAATTCCTTTGTGCCCATGTTTCCACAATAGGATTACTCTGAGGGATAAATGATACAATACACTTTGTGAAGGGTTTAGCCCAGTGCCTGGAATATTTTAAGCACTGCTTAAACAATTTGGAACCCCTGTGATTTGGAGTTCATAAAGTTCCAGCTTGGCTTTTTTTTATCTCCATTAACTCTCTCTCTCACAAAGAGAAGCCAATCTTATTTTACCTTTCACTCCAATGTGGGTGATTCTTAGATCTGGCTTATTCCCCTTCTTTCTAGATCCATACCCACAAACTCTAATTCTTTATCTCTGTGTACCTTTCGTATGCTTATACTTCTCCAGAGTGCCATCCAACTAGCCCCAAACCTGTCATGTCTCCCTCTTTCCAGGCCTACTCCCCCAGTTAGTCTTTTTACTTATTCCTTCCTTTTTGTCCTGATTCTCCCTACAAGAGTTTATTACCACCTGCTTGGACCAGTGGGAAAGCCTCCAAGTTATGCATTCAGCTGACTGTCCTGTTGCAAGCTTGCCCCATTCCAGTCTGTCCTGTTTTTGCCAGCAAATTGGCCAAACCTGTGAGTTCTTTGTCCCTTGTTTTGATTCATTTTTAGATATGGTATAATTCATTTTGAAATATTACATTCCACTGAAGGAGATTTTGATACTTTCAAAAAATTCATCAGAAGGGAGCATTTTTTTTTTTTTTGAATCATTTTCCCAAAGCATTGCTTTGATTGCCATTCTCTTAAACTCTTTCAACAGAACTTTGGAAGGTAATTGGATATATTCGTTATCTTGATTGTGGTGATAGTTTCATGAGTATATACATCTGCCAAAACTTATCAAAGTGTACACTTTGAAATGTGTAGTTTATTGTATGACAATACTACCTCAATAAAGTTGGTTTTTTTAAAAAACAGCGGTTTTCCATTTCCCATCAAATAAAGCCTAACTTTTCCACCTGGTATGCAAAGTCTCCCAGGGTCTGACCCCAGCCCCTCTCCTTAGCGTTATGGATCAAGACTCTCTCCACATAACCAAAAGTTCGGTCAAACTGAGCTACGCAGTATGCTACTCTCCTCCTACTGTTCTGTGTTTCATGTTGCTTTCTCTCAGGCTCTACAGACATCTTCAAGACTAACTCAAATGTTGCATCCACCATGAAGGCTATCCAGGTAATCCAAGTAAGAAGCGATCTTTGACTTCTCATAATTTTTTTTCCTGACCCTGACTGTCTTCTCATAATTTTGTTTGCATCACATTTATGGTCTTATCACAAATGGTCTTAGGTTAGAGTTGTTTGTGTACTTACCTTCCCTACTGAAATACAGGATCACTGAAGGAGGACAATTTGTTGTTCACGTCTGTAGCTCCTGTCTTCCCCACTCTCTTGTATGCATACAGATCTCCTAAATATTCATTAAGTGAATAAATGAATGAAAACTGAATGAACAATCAAATGAAAGATGAGACTTTAGATTTGATCATATTTTGAACAAGATGCCAAGCCTCACTAAGATTTCCAACTCTCTATTTTAAAAAAAGCTGGTAAATTGCTTTGGTTGCAAGTTATCAGTTGACCTTTGCCTCTTGAGGATTGTTTCTGAAACCAAGGCAGAGTATGAGTCCCTGTGTGCTATGTGGGAAGCTGACTGTGAAGCTCACAAGGTCTGAATTGAAGAGCATGATGAGGTCTCAGAAAGCTATAGTGACAAGAAGCTGATTGGAAGATGGGTCGGGGACTTTCCTGCTGTGGATGATGTGAAAACATGACCAAAGCAAATAAGTTTTGTTAGAGGTGTTTTATAAGCCTCTGCGTCTATTTCTAAAAGGAGAAACAGTCTATTCTAGAGATAAAGGAGGTCATTTTTTTCCTGGCCATTGCAGCTCTTTGCAGATGGACTCTGTGTCTCAGTAAGAGCATCATTCCTTTTACAACAATAGCCCCATTGATTGGGAAGCAGCCTTCAGGGATGTACACTTTGCCAGGTTCCTAGAACTCCCCGTAGGGAATGCCCATCTGCTCCTGCCATAGCGAAGGTGCCCAGCCAGAGACAAGCAGAGACCGCGCCAGGCAAGAGATCTGGAGTAACTGATGCAGTGAGGAACCAAGTCAGAGTGGATCTCTCACCAAAACCTAACCACTTTATCACGGTAGAGCTATTTTAGGTGTTGCTCAAAACCATGTGAAGCACTGTGGGTCACACAAGTGTAGAGAAGTTGCTATCCTGGCCTTTGATAAGCTTCAAACTGCAGGGGGCATTTTATATGCTTTCTTTTGAATAAGTCTCTTTTAAAAATAAACTTCTGGGAGACAAGGAACCAGTGATGAAACTAAGAAAATTTGTATAGCTGAATATAAAGCTTCATACTGAAAAGATTCAGACTAAAAGAAGGTCATGGTGAGACGGGGTTAAGGGCAGGATTTTTGAAGAAAAGAGTACCTAGGCTTTCTGGCTTTATTTTCATCTTGGTGAAAACTGGAGGAAATGATGGGAAGTAGCAAAAGAAGTGGCAGTAGAAGAGCAAGGTGTATGGGTGATGTGTTGGGTAGGTTGGGTGCGGACACTTGATGAGGAGGGGCTTCGTGGAATCTAGACTTATTCCCACTGACTATCAGTAAGTACTTTTGGGTTTTTTTTTTTTTGCATTGAAGAGGAGTCTTAAGAACTTTTATCCAATCTTAGTTACCAGGAGATACTAGAATGGAAGATACATAGGCAGGAAGACAACTAAGAGCTTGTTGCTGCAGGAATCCAGTTATGAAAATGGGAGTGGGGGGTTAACATGGAAATGGAGAAGAGATTGAATCTGAAAGACATTGAAGAGAAAGGACCAAGAGGTCTTGGTCACCAGGAGGATGCTTACAAAGGACTGAGTGTTTCATAGATGATACACAAAGCCCATATCAAATCAATGACCCTGGGACGTAGAGGAAGGCAGGAGCAGTGAAAGTAAAGCAAAGGTTGGTGAGTGGCTTTCTGAGGGTAAAACATGCCTCCTGTTAGAGAAAGGATGTTCTAAGCTGAGTGTGTTTCCTCTTGACTAGTTGGTCTTGTCTTAATAATCCCCCCTGACATTCTCTTTGGTTCAAGTTTTTTTGTCATCCAGCTCCCAAACTCCATGACACTGATGTTTCCCCACAAACTGGCACACTCCCCTCTTGTTGGAACAGGTGACAGTGTGATTGACGCTCCTGTCTTATCATCTTCCTCTGAACAAACACCAGAGCCTAAGAGGCAGCAGTGAGATGTTCCCTCCCCACTCCTCTTCAGGTACCACAGTTTTACTTTCCATCATAACTCACCCTTGATGGCTCTGATAAAGTGTTTATGAGTCTTTCAGTGCATGGAATTGTTGTGTTCACTTAGGGTGTATGCCAGACTGGTTGAAATGTTTCATTGTTAATTCGTCAGTTCTTTTAGGTATTTGCTCATTTTTGCTGCAGGACTTGTTTCCCTTCCACAGCTCTTGATCTTCCCACAAGATACAAATGAGTCAACAGAATCTTCTACAAAAAGAATTCTGCTCCTACTATCGTCCAGTACCTACAGAAAGAAGTGTGAAAAAGTAAGTAGTAGCTTAGATTTATTAAAAATAAAAATAAATGTTTTGTTTTCTCCTGAAGTTTGCTTTTTTTCTCGCTTGAGTGGTCTGCTCAGGAAATGGCCTTTCAGCTAAGTGGGTTTTTGACGTTTGGCTATTTCACGATGTTTGTATGTCTTTTGGTTTTAGAGTGGAACAGAATCCTGAGCATTGCTGCTTGCTTTTAAAGAAGATCTGCAGTTCTACTAAGACACTATTTTCAGATCCTTGTATGTTGGCTCTAAGCAAGCTTTTCTTTCTTATGTCATATCTGTTTCCTTGTTATCCCTCCCTAAGAAGAAAATAAAGTTAGAGAGAGATTGTTCTGAAATGTGAGGTTGAGGAAAATAGATTTAAATTTCATTTTCTTAGGGGTCTTTTTGTTTATTCATTAGTAAAATTCTGATTTTACTGGAAGTGAAGACACTCTAAGGTGACAGAGAGATGATGAAACTATATGTCTCTTATTGTCCAACTACAGAAAATCATTTTCCTTTTAGGGTTATGCTTTGCTGCTTTGAAAATAAGCAAATTCGTTTGGAATATTTTAATTTTTATCAGTAATTAGGTCTATATCTTTAGTTCTGAGATGCTTTATTAACTGGTTAATGGTATTTTTCACCATATTCTGGCTTGTTCACTATTCTCTACCCAGCCCCTAACACAATGCTTAGCATTCATTGGGAACTCGATAAATCTGTTGAACAAATGAATGGATTTCTGTGGATTTTTTCTAATAAAAAAATGGTGATAATTTTAAAAGAAGAATTTAAAAGACCCTCCGTAATCCCAGCAATTATACAGTTGATCCTTTTTTGCATCTTTTAGTCTTCATTTAACCATGTGCATACTTTTACTTGATTTTAGTTATTGTGAACTTGAAATTTTGTCTATTTAAAAAATTTCCCATAGTTTATAATTTTTTTAAAAAGTTGAATTAAACATTGCATTCTTTAGAGCAGCAAGAAATTCTCCTTTAATGTTAGGGATAATTTGAGAAATACTTTCCCGCTCTCAAATTCTGTTGAAGAATTGTGGTTCGTGTTAATTTATGGTGTAGATTGGGACTGAAATTCCTCATTGACCTCTCATTGCCTATAAGCAAGATACCTCAGTGAGCTCTCTTTCCCTGTTGTAAGGCTCAATAAACTAGGTGCAACTGTATAGTGTGCAGAATCATTTCCTAAAGGAAGTTTGAATAATGTTGCAAAACAGAAAGGATTGCTAATATCAAATAGAGGAAGTTTGAAAGGCACATTTCCAAGTTTTCTTCATGATCATTTCGGACTAATTTTGTTAACATATTATTTATTGAACCTCTGTCCTCAAACAGAAATGTTATGCTGATTTTTGGTTTGTTCTCACACCAGATGAGACACTCTTGGGTAGGTCTGCACGCACTGAGGAGAGAATTCATGCAAGCGGAGATGTGGAAGCTTTTTCTAGAAGAGCCTGTCTGTCGAGGCCCAAATGCCACATGCACAGCATGGCCTCCTGAAACAATGGCCTTTTCCAAGGCATTAGTGGCAGAGTAGAAACATCTTCTCTAAGAATAGTTCTTCAGTTGTACTGTTGCCTGCAAGTTGGTTGATTTTACTTGTTTTCCGTTCCTTCGTATTATACTAGCTTTACATACAGGTGATTTTGTGCCAACTTTCCTGTCAGGTGCTCTTCGTGGGGCCACTGCACTCCTGGGTCCTATATAGACCAATACTGAGAAGTCTTCATATCCAGAACCCAAATGAAACTCAAAAATTACTGGCTGGTGGGGGTGGGGTCCTGAAATCAACACTTCCCCTAACGGAGGTGAGCACTTCCCCAGCCCTGGGAGAGACAAAGACTGTCAGAAGCAGCTGACTTTGTTTCATCCAAAAGAGAATTTGAGACGTCTATAGCCGAATTAAAAGTTCTGAGTGAAAATGCCTTCTCTGATGAGCAGAAGTTTGCCACTGATCCCAGTGACATGAAACTTTTTAGACAATGTCAACTCCAAACAGTGTCTATCTCCTCTCCTGGGCCTAAATGAACTTTACAGAGTTCATTTGGGACATGAGGAAACAGAAGGTGTCAACAGGGCCTTTGTGCCCACTGGGGAAATGGGAAAAGGCAGAACCCAACTGTGAGACCTGTAATTCTGCCTTTTCTCTAGGGAGCAAGAAAAATGGTGAATTTCACTTCAGAGCGGTGGAGTGGAAGAGGCTCAGAGCTAAGCACATCACATGTTGTTCTGGCAAGCCTCTTGTTTGTTAAAAACTAGAATTGTAACCAGGTTCCTTTCTTGAGGAGGAAGGCACTAGGGCCCAGGAGTGAGGTGATGGCTTTGTTGTGTGACCACAGAGGATGGTTACGTACTAATTTCCTCTGGGGCTTGTGATGAAGTCAGTAAACCACAGCCTTCAACATGCTCTGCTCAGGCAGCAGCAGTGTCTCCTCAGTGCTGTCTCTGCCATGACACACATTTGACATGCCCTCCCTTAACCCACTCAGAGACTGTCTCTCTTGCCTTGCAGCATGGACCAAAGAGAAGTTCTGCAGAAGTTCCTGGACGAGGCTCAATACAAGAAAATTAACAAAGAGGAGCTTGCCAAAGAATTTCTGGTGAGTCCCTTGTGTGACACTCTCAGGGTAGTTACATAGACTGTTTGACTATGATGGTCCAACTCTCCTAGACCAAATTGCTCCTGTGATGAAGTGAATGTCTAACCTTTCAGGGGAAGAAGGGAGAAAGGCAACCTGAAAGTTTGACTTCTCTAAGTGGTTTGTGTGTATTTTAGATATTCTTTCCAAGGTACAGTTTTTGGTGTTCTGTTGGCTAGTTCTTAGAGTTAGACTAGGAATCCTACAGAAGACGTACATCATTCAAGCTGTATAAATCTAATATTGAATGAACATCCAGAGTTCCCAGGTATCTGAGTTGTGGTTTATGCTTCAAATGTCTACTTTTAACTACCATCAAGAGGAAAGAGACCAAGGTTCACTTTTTGTGGAACATTATGCTTTTAGCCTCCTGTGTAATTCCACTTCGATGTCAAAGGCTTTTGAAGGGCACCCAGACTACCTGCTGCCACATTCTTTTTTCTCTTCTTCTTTTTCCTGAAGAAAAAATACCAGAACATGTGTTTTTGCAATAACAGGGTTCCCTTAACCATCTTTTGCTAGGAGGGGTGGAATGGTGAGGATGGGGAGGAGAGAAAAGTGAGGGACATGGAGAGAAACATAAGCACAGGGTAGCCTAAAGTCAACTGGATTTGATTACCTAGAGAATCATTGCATCCCCACTGGGGGAACTGTGGTTACTGATGCAACGGCAACTGAGCAGGCCTCATTCATCCTTGTACCTAGCACACTGGTAACACTGGATATCTGAGAGTACCTAATATTTTGAAACATGTCCAGCTGGCATTTCAGAGCTGCAAGAATTTCAAACCTTACTTCTTCAGCTGTGAAGAAGTGGGAAAAATAAGGGAATTTACGTGTCAAATCTGAAATTAAATCATGATGCTGTCATCAACCAAATGATCAGCTATTTGACATGTTCCATAATCTTACCAGGTCTCTGTTTTCTAACTTCTAAAAGGGAGATAATATTTCATGTCCTACCTATCTGCATAGGATTACTCTGATGACTGGATATCAATACTAATAATACTTAAATGTGGTTATTCAATCTGTAGTATTTATTGAGCACCTACTGTGTACCAAGTTCAGTTCTAGGCACTGAGGATTATAGCAGTGAACAAAACGGAAACTTTTGCCCTCATGGAACTAACGTTCTCGTACCAGACGGTAGATGTGAAAGCACTCTGTAAAGTCTCGAGTGATTAGATATTATGATTGAGTGATTACATATTACGATAGAAACTCCTATGTCAGCTCAACTTGCATGCTGCCGTGGTGTCATGAAAAATGTACTCTAATTGCCACTGGCAGATAGCCTGTGTCCCTCTGAGTAGAGTTAACAAGAAGGGAGGGAGGGAAGGCAAAAATCCTGGCCTATGTGTCTGTTGGACATGTGCCTGCCCCTGGACTGTAACTCCTGAGCCAAACTCACCTGACGCAGAGAGGTAAAAAGTGAGCTGAGGGGGCAGTGCCAGCCTCTGTTTTATTTGGGGTGTGTTTTTAAAAATAATATAGACTACGTCCCTAATGTTTTACCTTTTCTCAGCTCACTCATTATAATCTCTCACCAAATTCTAGCAGCTGCCTCACCTCCTGTTTTTTCTGCCTCTAGCCTAACCCCACCTTCAATCAATTTTCCATTCAACACCCAAGTGATCTTTTAATAATACAGATCTGGTTATTTTTTCCCTGCTTCAAAACCTTCTATAGTTTCATATTTTTTCCAGCTGTTTGAAACTGTGGACTATAATACATATTTAGAAAATTACATAAAACATATGTAAGTGGAGTTGTAAAGCAGCCACCACCAGGTCAAGGAATAGAACACTGTCAGGCCCCAGAGGTCCTCTCTATGTCCCTTTCCCATCAAGTCCTTCACCCCCTCGACCCCCACCCTGTCCTGCTCCACCCAAGGAATAATCACTGTCCTGACTTTTATATTAATCACTTCCTGGCTTCTCTAGCTCCTGATTTTAAGGGCCTTGTTTTTGGGTGGTGATTAAGTGAAACCTCACTGTTCACTGACTCATGTCCTCCAGTGGAAAAACAGAGTCTTTCCCTCAGCCCCACCTAAAGGTTTAGCAGAGATACCAGAGAGAGTAGCCTTGGGGGAGATGGAGAATGGTGAATGGGGCCAGGTTGCTTGCTTGGACAAGGTGAATACTGCCATTAAATTGGAAGGCTTCCCACCTGGTCATGTCCCACATTCCACGTTAAGCCTTTGACATATTCTCCCGGGATTTGATGTTTCTGAGGTTTGAGGACTGATTCTGTGACACAAGTCCACTGCTGGCCTAAATGGTGATGCCTTTCTGGGAATTATCATAAGTCGTCTCTACT